GAGAGAGAGAGAGAGAGAGAGAGAGAGAGAGAGAGAGAGAGAGAGAGAGAGAGAGAGAGAGAGAGAGAGAGAGATGGCCGTGTGGTAAGTTTTCTGTAGTCAGTGGATACTCTGAGTGGGTATACAACTCTCCAAACCGTGTTGCTGGAGTTGAGTGGCCCATTGACTATAAGTGTATGGTGAAGGAAGAGTGGAGGTGTGTGGAGATCTGGTGTGTGGTCCAACCAATGGATCTGAGCGATGGATCTCTGCTGTGCCATGGTTTATGGATAGGGCGGGCAGAGGGGCTAGCATACTCTCATCTTCCTGCAGATGGTGCATTCATCCAGTGTCTTAAAGCACCAGTCCAAGAGCAAGGTTCACCGGGTTGACCCCCGCCACTTCGTGGATATACAGGGGCCTGCCGCTGCCTCCAGTTAAATTCATTCATGACGAAAACCACCAGAGGGCTGCAGAAGGGCCTCTCGTACTGGTGGTTTAAGCACTTCTTTTTTTTCCGGGGGGGGKGGGGGGGGGTGAGATAATAGTTATTCCCTTGTGATTTGTACAAAAAGAGGGTTAAGTTTGGGGTGAAGGGTGGTGGTGGTGGTGGTGGCGCAGATTGAAAAGCACCTACCAAAAAAAAAAAAAAAAAGGGTGGTGGTGGTGTTTGAGGGAGGCGGACTGTGTGACTAACTTTTTCTTTTTCCTATTGTTGCCTTTCTGTATGTTATTTTGTCATTTATCAGCATCTCCTCCAGCGGAGCGAAAACTACCCAACCCGGAAACTATACTGCCTGCCCAGCATGCACTGGAAGGTAGGCTGTGAACTTAACTCCTGACCTCCCTTCATAGAGCGAAGTAGGGAAAGGAGTTGTTACGATGTTGATGACTTTTTTACCCAGAATCAGTGCTGAAAATGGGAGGGAGAGGGAAAAGGACTGTAAAAATTGGAAAAGCGGAGGGAAACAGAGAGAAGAAAAATCAGAGAAAATACGGGTGACCCTACTCAGACACCCAAAGCAGAAATGAAAGGAAACAGGGGTGACCGTGAGAAAAAATCAAATGAAATAGGGGTGACCTTGAGAAAAAAATCAAAGGAAATAGGGGTGACTCTGAGAAAAAAATCAAAGAAAATAGGGGGTACCCTACTTGGGCACCTTATGGGGCCTACCAGATATGCTTTCTAGACCTTACTGGGCATCCTATGGGCCCCGCTGAACTACCACTGTCTTCAGCTGAATAGAAGACAAGGTCGTTATCATCGCTAGGGGAGTTTTGTTTTCTCCAAGAAGGGAAGCCCTGTGTATAAAATTATAAATGGTATAAATGGTTTTGAAGAGGATTTGGAATGTTGGAGTGAATTGTGCAGAAGTTGGCATAATTTTCTGAGCATTTGGAATTTTGGAGTGAATTTTTGAATATTTAGTGCCTTTTTTTTCTTGGTGCTAGAGGAGTTTTGCTCTCTCCAAGAATGGAAGCCCTGTGTCTAAATGGTATATAAATGGTTGTGAAGAGGATTTGGAATTTTGGAGTGAATTGTGCAGAAGTTGGCATAATTTTTTCCACAGGGGCGATGTAATACATGGCAACGATGAGTTCTGTCGAGAGGGGGGGGGCCATACATTGGGAAGTCTCTTTGCCGTGTCCATGTGGTGTTGTGGTGTGTGTGTGTGTGTGTGTGTGTGTGTGTGCGTGTGTGTGTGTGTGTGTGTGTGTGTGTGTGTGTGTTGGACACTACAGCCCTGCAGGGGTGGGGTGGTTATCACTACCGGTATGGACACTACAGCTTTTCAGGGTCTGGCAGCTTTCTCTTTAGTTATGGGGATATGCGATGTGATGGTGAACATGTCTCTCTCTCTCTCTCTCTCTCTCTCTCTTCTGTACATGTGCGTGTGTGTGTGTGTGTGTGTGTGTGTGTGTGTGTGTGTGTGTGTGTGTGTGTGTGTGTGTGTGTGTGTGTGTGTGTGTTCCCTTCTGTGAATCCTTTCTGTTGTCCGAAGAGGGTGAAGCCTCTGAACTGTGGGGACGAATTTGTACATCTACAAGGATCGAAGCCTGATTTTTTGAGACGTTCCTGATAAAGACTGGACATGTCACTGCGACCTCAGTTGCATAGAGGGGGAATTAGAGCCTTTTTCTTTCCGCTGCACTTTGAGCTGCTGTGATAAAAAGCAACAAGAAGTTTTGTACATGGAATGAATTGTGAGGTCCATAAGGAACTATGAGACAGCATTGATGATTTCTCTTTTTGGAACTGGGGTTGTGGTTGTGTGTGGGTTTTGGGGGGGGGGGGGGAAGACATCGTGCTGCAGAGAAAGAGGAGGTGCAAGGGACTGCTGTTGAAAACTGTGATGAGCCAAGCACAAGTGGTATTGCTGTCCCTAGCCCTTTTGAGGTAATGAGAAAAAGCGTGCGGAAATCCCCTTTTTTTGTTCTTTTTTCAGTGAATAATACAGAATATGCCTTACTGGGCCATCCTGGTCCTGATCCGTTCTATTCCGGGGAACATCAGCGCAGAATCCTTTTCCACTTCCAGCCCAGCTTTCCTCTTGCCCTGATGAATGATCTGACTGCTGCGCACCACTCAATTTCCGAGTCTATATTTAGCGGGAACCCGCAGACAGGTTGGAGTCCTGAGTACCTCTTCCCGATGACACACCGGTTTCGCCACTGAACTTCAGTGTTAGAGCTAACTCCATCAAGTGCTCTTTCTTCTCTTGCGATCGATTGCCTGCTCTCGTCAAAGAGTCGTCCATAGTGACACGTCGAACGGCTTTGTGGTTCTTTCGGTCTGAACGAACTGTTGCTCGAACAAGGAGTATTCTTTTGGGCATTCTTTTTCTTTATATGTATACAAGTGGACCTGCCGCAGCCACGCTGCAGGGAAGGACGATGACAAAAGATTTTGCGAAACACCCACACCGGATGCTGTCATCAGTTGGACCCCATCTTTGCAATGCACCCCTAGCGGACGCTGCCCAACGTCGGAAAATGCGCCGGCAGTTGGAAAGTTTTCGCACGCACACACAGACACACACACACAAAAAAAAAAAAAAAAAAAAAAAAAAAAAAAA